ACTGTCTTGGCCAGGCTGGTCTTGAACTCCTGACCTCGTGATCCACCTGCCTCGGCCTCCCAAAGTGCTGAAATTACAGGCATGAGCCACCGTGCCCAGCCGCAGGTGCTATTTCAATGCCCTTCTTCCCCAGGCTGCCCTTTCTTCTTGCCAGGCCTCTGCCCCTTTGTCAGTCTGAGGTGGAGGAGTCTCTTGAAATGAGATAAAGCTTCCCATCCCCCTCCACCAGGATGAAGGCTTTGGAGGGGGGTGCAGGTCCCACCTGTTCTTCCATCTTTTCTGTCTCTGTTTGTGGGGGGTGGAGGCCCAGAGGTGGGAGGAGGAAAGAACAGGTGAGGAGAGGTATAGAAAGGGGTTTTCCTCTCACCCTCCTCCCCCTTCCCTCTCCCACTGCCTGTATGGTGGCCACAGACTGTGCAGGCTGGTGTTAGGCTCAGGCGACAAGTGGGCCTGGGTGGAGATGGGGGAAGGAAGGAGCTTTCTGGAGGCACTTGGCCAGGCAGTCGTGCGCAAGAAGATTGTCACCCTGAGATCCATTCTTTGCATCCCCAGGTGGTGGCAGGACAGAAGTGGTGCAGCGCATCAGACTGCTGGGGTCTGCTACCACCAACACTAAACAACCACAGCCTTTCAAATCCCACTTCTCTAACAGGTAAAAAAGGAATGTCCTCTTCCATTTCCCCGCAGTAAACTCTGGGCTAATAAATGAGAATGTGTCACACGTAGTTTAATGAGAATGTGATACATCAAATCCAATTCGTAGATGGCGAGAACTCCTAACGGCTTCTGTACAGTGCCTGGAACCTGGCTGACAAAAATGTTTAATAATTGCCTCACTGGACACCAATTTGCCAAAGAATCTATTTTTTAAAATCTCAACATTTTATTACTGGCTGTTAATTTCAATATATCTGGTGATAAATCTGACATTTATCTCATAAATCTGACAAGAGAAGATGAGCTGGGTGAGATGAGCACTAAATCAGAAGTGATAAGTATGTCTCTATAATAGATTTTGCTGGTGTAGAGTTTACAATTGATGGTGAGGCTGACTTCATGTGCTAGCAACCTAATGAAAACCACTGTAATTGTCAGTGGAAAAAAACATGGTGGTTTAGAAAATAACTTTCTTTTGAGTTAATCCTAATCTTTCGGTTGTACTGAATCAGTGTTATTCATCATTTTTGCTTATTTTAATCAGGGACTTACACAGAATCCTTCCAAATTGAACTAAGTGTCTCAATTTTCTAAGCCCATAACCAAAACCAAATAGCACTTTCATGGAATTGTCAAAGCAAGGCTTTGCCTTTTATCTTTTCTCCCCCAAATTACCTAGAAAATCTGATCTTTCCAATAACAAATTTGAACCAAATGTTTCGTTTGTTTAAAATCCTTTAAAGTTTGGATTTGAAGGAATCCCGTCCCTCCCAGCGTCCACATGAAGACTCCCTCTTCTTGGCTAAACCGCTGTGTAGTGTGATGAGGTACTGTTTTAAGCTGGGCTAGTAGAAGCTGGAAGTGGTTACATTTCACCAATAGGTTACTGGATTTTCATTTATTTCTTAACTGAGCTTTATTTTAGGGGTGAAGCACTCAGCCTTACACAAAGAATGAAAAAGTAAATATTACATTAAATTATTATTATTATTACAATTTTTTTTTTTTTTTTTGAGATGGAGTCTCGCTCTGTTGCCTAGGCTGGAGTGCAGTGGCATGATCTCGGCTCACTGCAACCTCTGCCTCCTGGGTTCAAGCAATTCTAGTGCCTCAATTTCCCAAGGAGCTGGGATTACAGGCGCCTGCCACGACGCCTGGCTGATTTTTGTATTTTTAGTAGAGACGGGGTTTTGCCATGTTGGCCAGGCTGGTCTCAAACCCCTGACCTCAAGTGATCCACCCACCTCCGCCTCTGAAAGTGCTGGGATTACAGGCATGAGCAACCACGCCCAGCCTAACTATCACATTACATTTTTTAAAGTCCCGGGTAACCAAAGGGGATTTGGAGTCCTCTTTTTTTTTTTTTTTTTTTTTTTTTTGAGACAGAGTCTCACACTGTTGCCCAGGCTGGAGTGCAGTGGTGCGATCTCTGCTCACTGCAAGCTCCGCCTCCTGGTTTCAAGCCTCAGCCTCCCAAGTAGCTGGGACTATAGGCGCATGCCATGACGCCCGGCTAATTTTTTGTATTTTCAGTAGAGATGGGGTTTCACCATGTTAGCCAGGATGGTCTCGATCTCCTGACCTCATGATCCACCCGCCTCGGCCTCCCAAAGTGCTGGGATTACAGGTGTGATGGAGTACTCTCTTTTTTAAAGTCCTGAGTAACCAAAGGGGATTTGGAGTACTCTCTTTGTCAAACACTATTCCCATGGCCTTGATTACCTCGCTGCTTCCTGACTGTTTTCCCAATAACCATCAGTTTCTGCAGGTCTTTAAAAAATATTTGAGCAAATGACATTACTGATAGTCCACATATTGTAAACATATTTGCATAAAAAAGATGGGGCAGGTGTTCTCAAGAGTAACAGCATCCTGTTAATTCACCAAAGTACTTTATAACAAAAAAAGTAATAAACCAACAAGACAGGGTCACTTCTCATTGCTGTTTTTTTTTTTTTTTTTTCTTTTTTCTCATGAGTCACTGAGGCTTTTTATTTTGAGCACAAAATCACTGGGGATCTTGCCTGTGGCCACCCTGGAGATGACACCGGAGGGTCACGTGGCTCCAGACACTTGGTGGAAAGTGAGGCGAGAAAAACAATGATTTGGGCCAATTACATGACCGCAAAGTTAGAGCTGCCAACAGGGCTCCAGGGAGCTTGGCTTCTGTAGAAGTTCTTTTTTTTTTTTTTTGAGATGGAGTCTCGCTCTGTCACCAGACTGGAGTGCAGTGGCATGATCTCGGCTCACTGCAACCTGCTTCTGTAGAAGTTCTAAAGAAGCGGTGCAAACTCCACGGCGGTGGGCGAGGGGAGCTCACTAGCAGCGGCCCCTACAAACGTTGGTCAGGGGCCTTCGGCTGCCCGAGCTGACACGAGGGGAGGGTCTAATTAGCCACCAGGTGACTGAAGGGCTTGCCTGCCCACAGCTTAGTTGGCCGGGGGGTTTCTGAAGTTCCTGCCAGCAAACTTAGCCTTGCTGCCAAGCTCCTCTTCAGTTCTGAGGAGCTGGTTGTACTTGGCCAAGCGCTCAGATCAGCAAGGGGCACCAGTCTTGAGCTGCCAGGGCACAGCCCCACCACCAGGTCAGCAATGAAAGTATTTTCAGTCTCCCCAGAACGATGAGACACCATGACACCCCAACCACTGGCCTGGGCCAGCTTGCACGCCCGGAGGGACTCAGTCATGGAGCAAATCTGGTTCACTTTGAGCAGGAGGCAGCTGCACGCCTTCTCACTCACCGCCTCGGCCGTCCTCTTTGGGCTGGTCACTGTGAGACCATCCCTCACTACCTGGATTCCTGCACTGGCCGTGAACTTCTGCCAAGCTCCCCAGTCATCCTGGTCAAAGGGATCTTTGACAGACACCACTGGGTAGTTTTTGATGCAGGACTTGGACAGATCAGCCAGATGGTTAGGTGAGAGGTACCTTATGGGGTCATCGGGAGACCTGAATTCCAGGTCATACTTCCCAGACCTGAAGAAGTCGGAGGCCGCTGTGTCCATGCCGATGATCACCTTATCAGTGTAGCCAGCCTTCCCAATCGCAGCTTCAGCAGCTCCAGGCCTTCTTTATTCTCCAGGATGTTGGCAGCAAATGTGCCTCCATCCCCCATGCTGGTGGCATCTTTCCCTTATTTCTCCTTGATGACATTCTTCAGGTTGTGGTAAACCTCTGCTCCACTGGGCATGGCTTCCTGAAGTTTGCCACACCGACTGGGAGGACCATGAACTCCTGCATGGCCAGCTTGTTGCCAGCATGAGAAATGCCATTGATGACACTGAACACCGGGACTGGCAAGACAACTTTGGGGTTGCCAGGCAAGTCGGCAATGTGGTGGTACAGGGGAACCCCCTTCACAACAGCGCCAGCTTTGCAGGCGGCGAGGGAAACCCCAGAATAGCGTTCCCACAAATTGAGATTTATTTTCTGTTCCATCCATCTCGATCATCAGTTGGTCAATCTTTTCTTGTTCTGTGACGTTCAGTTTTTTTCTAACCAGGGCAGGTGCAATAGTTTTATTGATGTACGCAACAGCCTTTGAGACACCCTTCCCCATATGGTGAGTCTTATTATTGTCCTGGAGTTCTAGGACCGCACAGATACCAGTTGAAGCACCACTGGGCACAGCAGCTCTGAAGAGACTTTTTGAGGTCAAGAGATCAACCTCAATAGTGGGATTCCCACAAGAGTCAAAGATCTCCCTGGCATGGATCTTGAGAATAGACGTGGTGAATTTCTAGCCACTGGGTCTCGTCGCCTAGGAGAGACGTGGAGGGTGCTGCAGACACTGAGGTGAGCGCTCCTCATTGCTGTTTTCTTTGAAACCGTGGGAATGGCACTGATCAGGAAGAGATGTTACATATAGTGCTGTGGGTATGTCTGGGCCTATCAGCAGTCTCAGGACCTATTTAAATCTTTAGCCGTATTTCAGGGAGAGGATAATTTTATTTTCATCATGGCATGAATCCATTCCGACTGCAGGACTTTGGCCCTTAGCGGATACTAGAAAATATGCTTTCCTAATTCCAGATTTGAATATTAAATTAAAACAGATGTGCAAAACTAAACAAACAGAGATCCACCACCGAAACAAGCTACCCCTCCACAAAACTACCAGCTTTGGGGAAAACCAGTGTCCACCGTTCCACGTCCTTATACTAAATTCCTACAAAAGAACAGATTCACATTCCTTCTTCACCTGTGGTTGTGTCAACGTCCAGGGAGGCCAATGAAGGAAGAAGAAGAGCTCTAGAAGTGCCTGGAGGGGTCTCCACGCTCCCGCTTGGGCCACTCCTCGTCCACCCACCTGCGCAGAACCTTCTCCACGTCGGCCCTGTGGTAGAGCCTGCAGAGCTCCATCAGCTGGCCCACCGTCCTCTGACTGTTCCGCAGCAGGAACTCCAAGGTGGGGCTCTGTGGCCTCTGCTCCAGGAAGCACAATTCATCATAGGACATCCCCCATTTGCTTGCAAAATTCCTCCAGTTTTTCACCGTTGGGTGACACGGATCCAGCTTTATCCTGATCACATCTAGTAAGTCCTGATCATTGAGCAAGTCACTGATGGTGGGGGCCCGGAGCAAGCAGGAGGAACAAGTACAGTTTTCTTTGCAGGAGTCGTCCTTGCTGATCTCTGCAGGGAGAAACAATTTAGTCCACAGGTCAACAAGAGGCCTAACATATGCATTCATTTCTTACATCCTTTATGTTCCTGCTGAATTGTCAAAAGCATCATATGGAAGACTATTTCAGAATTCTCATTTCTTTTTTTTTTTTTGAGATGGAGTCTCGCTCTGTTGCCCAGGCTGGAGTGTAGTGGCGTGATCTCAGCTCACTGCAAGCTCCGCCTCCCGGGTTCATGCCATTCTCCTGCCTCAGCCTCCTGAGTAGCTGGGACTACAGGCGCTGCCACCGCGCTTGGCTAATTTTTTGTATTTTTAGTAAAGACGGGGTTTCACCGTGTTAGCCAGGATAGTCTTGATTTCCTGACTTCGTGATCTGCCTGCCTCGGCCTCCCAAAGTGCTGGGATTACAGGTGTGAGCCGCTGTGCCTGGCCTAAGAATGCTCATTTCTAATAATGTGTTACTCTTTTTTTCTTTTCTTTTCTTTTCTTTTTTTTTTCTTGATACAGGGTGTCACCCTGTTGCTCAGGCTGCAGTGCAGTGGCATGATCTTGGCTCACTGCAACCTCCACCTTCCAGGCTCAGGTGATCCTCCCACCTCAGCCTCCCGAGTACCTGGGACTATAGGCACGTACCACCAAACCTGGCTATTTTTTTGGTAGAGATGGGGTTTCACCATGTTTCCCAGGCTGATCTTGAACTCCTAGGCTCAAGTGATCTGCCCAGCCTGACCTCCCAAAGTGCTGGGATTACAGGCATGAGCCACTGCACTTGGCTGTGTTATTCTTCATAGCCAAAGGTGGGTTGCTTTGCTGGAAGGAGTAGGAATTTTTAAAGCCTTTCTTTCCAAGACTGTCTATGTCTTACAGTGTGCATCTGTGACACTGCTGGCCAGAACAAGGGCTCCAGCAAACAGAACGCTCCCTGAGGCACAAAGGTCTGCAGTGCCCGTGAGTAACCAGCCCACACCTGCATGCACCTCAGCCCTTGCCCCTTCCAAGTGACCAGTCAGCCCTGACAGTTTAACACCAAACACACCATGTCAGCATGTACAAAACTGCACACTTCTTTGAAAGGTCTTTTTTTTTAAAAAAAAAAAAAAAAAAATGCAGACATGAAAACTGGAATATCCACTCCATATGCATATTTGAAAACAAGCGATAGTTGATAGTGCCAGAAATCTTACTTTTTAAATTTACGGCCCCCTTATCAGCTCTCTGCCTTTACCTGTGCTTTCTTCACCCATAGGCTCCCTTTGAAGTGGCGCCAACACCCTGGGGTGTGTGCAGTGGGAGGGAAAGAGGCGGAAAACCCAGCAGGAGGCTTTTCAGCGGAGCTTCAGCATGAAGAGCATGCGCCCACACCAGAGGAAGAGCCGCCTTCCTACTGAATCTTAAAGACTCAACTGTAGCCTCATTTGACGAGCAGGAGGCATGTTAGTAGGAGGACAAAGTTTGTAGGTGAGAGGTGTGGACAAGTCATTTGTAATAAAGTATTAAGTGGTGTCTAAACAACATGGCAAATTAAGCAGCTTAAATTCTACAACAACACTGAGTCTCACGAGCCCTCTGAATTCAGGTTTTAATAGCCAAAGGCCACTTTGCTTGGAAAGGCCACTGGCTTGGAAAATTCTGGGGAAGGTTATAATAGCCTTTACTATATATATGACGTTGAGTCATGGCCTTCCTAGTTTGGGAAGGTAAAGAATTTGGACAGAGGGAGTAACTCTGGTGATCATAAGGGAGCAAACCAGCAATCTTGAGGCCAGTGGAAATTCAAAGGCAGTAAAACAAGAGCCATGAAAATATGCTCATACTCTTTGACCTATTAATGTAACTCCTGGGAATCCATCCTAAGGAGATAATCCAAAATACACATTTACATAAACATTGTTATCACGGTGTTATTTACATTATTGAGTTTCAAAAACAACCAAAATGTCTAAAGTTAGGGGACTTGTGAAATAAATGATTGTACTACTTGATGGAATATTATTTAAGTAACTATGAAGACAATATGGCAACCTAGAAAATGTTTGTGATGTTATGGGAAAAATGCAAGATAGAAAAAAATGTATGAATTCTACGATTAGAACTACATGAAAATCAATGAGTGGATAAAGAAAATGTGATATATATATATGATATATGTGATAAATGTGATATATATATCACATTTTCTTTATCCACTCATTGATTTTATATATATATGACGAAATACTATTTATCCATAAAAAGGAATTAATTAATGGCATTTGCAGTAACCTGGATGGAATTCGAGACTATTATTCTTTTTTTTTTTGAGATGGAGTCTCGCTCTGTCGCCCAGGCTGGAGTGCAGTGGTGCGAACTCGGCTCACTGCAAGCTCCGCCTCCCGGGTTCACGCCATTCTCCTGCCTCAGCCTCCCGAGTAGCTGGGACTACAGGCGCCCGCCATCACGCCTGGCTAATTTTTTGTATTTTTAGTAGAGACAGGGTTTCACCGTGTTAGCCAGGATGGTCTTGTTCTCCCAACCTTGTGATCTGCCCACCTCAGACTCCCAAAGTGCTGGGATTACAGGCGTGAGCCACCGTGCCCAGTAAGACTATTGTTCTAAGTGAAGTAACTCAGGAATGGAAAACCAAACATCGTATGTTCTCACTCATAAGTGGAAGTTAAGCTATGAGGATGCAAAGGCATAAGAATGATACAATAGACTTTGGGGACTCAGGGGGAAAAGGTGGGAAGGGGGTGAAGGATAAAATATACAAATCGGGTGCAGTGTATACTGCTCGGGTTATGGGTGCACCAAAATCTCATAAATCACCACTAAAGAACTTACTCATGTAACCAAATACCACCTATTCCTCAATAAACTATGGAAATTAAAAAATAAAAAGTAAAAAGCACCCTGGGAAAAAAAAATTTCTCCCTGGCCAGTCACAGTGGCTCACACCTGTAATCCCAGCAATTTGGAAGGCTGAGGCAGGAGGATCACTTGAGCCCAATAGTTCGAAATCAGCCAGTGCAACATAGTGGAACCCTGTCTCAAAAAAAAAACCTAAAAATTAGCCGGGTGTGCTGGCACATGCCTGTGGTCTCAGCTTCATGGGAGGCTGAGGTGAGCGGATTGCTTGAGCTTAGGAGGTTGGGGCGGCAGTGAGCCGTGACTGCGCCGCTGCCATCCAACCTGGGCAACAAAGTGAGACCCTGTCTCAAAAAAACCAAAAATTCTCTCTGTGCACCTTTTAAGAATACCTGAACTTCCCTATGTACACTTAAGCTTCGCTGGGGTGCTTAGACTTTCTTTTCTGTATCTGTCCAGTTACCAAGTCCCAGCCTTCCACTCCATGCTCCCCATGCTCTCTTCCTGTTTTATTTTCCATGACTGCCTCAATATAACTTGTGCTGAACCAAACTGGACTACTCAATTCCCTGCATTTTCTTTTTTAAATTTTAATTTAATTAAAAAAAAAAAACTGGCTGGGTACAGTGGCTTCTGCCCACAGTTCCAGTGCTTTGGGAAACTGAGGCAGGAAGATTGCTTAAGGCCAGAAGTTCAAGATGAGCCTGGGCAACACAGCAAGACCTCCATCTCCACAAAAAAAATTTAAAAATTGGCTGAGTGTGATGGTGTGCACCTGCAGTCCCAGCTGCTTGGGAGGCTGAGGCAGGAGGATTGCTTGAACCCAGAGTTCCAAGTTATAATGAACTATGACTGTGCCATTGCATTCCAGCCTAGGTAACAGAGTGGGATTGTCTCAAAAAACAAAACAAAATCCCTAATCTAATCTCAGTGTAGAAAATTTGGAATATATACACACACACACACACACGTGTGTATATATATACACACACACATATAATACACATATAATATGTATATATGTATATAATATATAATACACACATATAATACATATATACACATATAGAATACGTATATGTACACACATACATAATACATATATATATACACATATATACACGTATATATTATATATATATGAATTTTGGATAAACTATTAACGGTTAGGGTTTTCCCCAATTCTCCTGACTGAGTGAAGATGTGATGCATACCTTTCACATAAATTTTGGCCGCATCTTTAATCATCTCACCACTAACAGGATAATTAAGTCAAAAGAATGAGCCTTCTAAGGCTACTGGTGCATGTGCCCCAAATTGCTCTCCAGAAAGAAAGGCTGTACCAGTTTACAGTATGAATTTTTTTCTTTTCTTTCTTTTTTTTCTTTTTTTGAGACAGTCTCGTCCTGTCATCCAGGCTGGAGTGCAGTGGCACAATCTCAGCTCACAGCAACCTCTGCCTCTTGAGTTCAAGCAATTCTCCTGCCTCAGCCTCCTGAGTAGTTGGGATTTCAGGCACCCGCCATCACACTCGTCTAATTTCTATATTTTTAGTAGAGGTGGAGTTTCACCATGTTGGCCAGGCTGGTCTCAAACTCCTGACCTCAGGTGATCTCCCCTCTTGGCCTCCCAGTGTGCCGAGATTACAGGTGTGAACCACCACGCCCAGTCATTTCCCCTTTGTCAGCGCCAAGTATTCGTTTTAAAAATCTCTTTTTAAAGGTTCTTAAAAAGTGGTAGGTTAAAAAATCAGGCCGTATCTTTTTCTATCTCCATGCCGTTTTCAGTGTTTCCTTCATGATCAGAATGCCTTCCCTCTCCTTCTCACCGAACTTCTTCTATGGCACTTCCCTTCCTCTAATGGACTCTACCCATCCTAGAAAACCCACTCGGATTCCCCCTTTCCATGAAGTCTTCCCGGCCGCTGTCTGGAATTCCACCTCACTTGGAACCCCCACATCATTTTGTTTGCATCTCCTGACCCCGCCTTGTAGTGAGAAATACTGTACGGTTTTCTTATTTCCATGCAACACCTTAAAATCCTGAGAACAGACAGGCATCTCCGCTCCTGCCTCAGCCTCCCGAGTAGCTGGGACTACAGGTGCCCGCCACCAGGCCCGGGTAATTTTTTATATTTTTAGTAGAGACGGAGTTTCACTGTGTTAGCCAGGATGGTCTCGATCTCCTGACCTCATTATCCGCTCACTGTGGCCTCCCAAAGTACTGGGATTACAGGCGTGAGCCACTGTGCCTGGCTATAATACAGTTCTTATAATGACAAATAATTCATTTATATCCCTGTAAATCATGTATTATAAATACAATCACAAGCATGGAGAAAAGTTTGGAAGGATCTATAACAAAAATGTTAACAATGGTTAATTCTGGGTGATGAGAACACAGGTGACTAATTTTTTTTTTTTTGCTTATGGATATTTTCCAATTTTCTATAATTATTGTGTTTATTTGAATACTATATCTATTTTTGAGACAGGGTCTTGCTCTGTGGCCCAGGTTGGAGTGCAGTGCTGCAACCATGGCTCACTGTAGCCTCCACCTCATGGGCTCAAGCAATCCTCCTGCCTCAGCCTCCCGAGTAGTTGGCATGCACCACCATACCCAACTAATTTTTTGATTTTTTAAAACTTTCTGTAGGCTGGGCGATATGGCTCATGCTTGTAATCCCAGTACTTTAGGAGGCCGAGGGGGGCAGATCACCTGAGGTTGGGAGTTCGAGACCAGTCTGACCAACATGGAGAAACCCCATCTCTACTAAAAATACAAAAATTAACTGGGCATAGTGGCACATGCCTGTCATCCCAACTACTTGGGAGGCTGAGGCAGGAGAATTGCTTAAACCTGGGAGGCAGAGGTTGCGGTGAGTTGAGACCATGCCACTGCACTCCAGCCTGGGCAACATGAGCAAAACTCCATCTCAAAAAAAAAAAAAACTGTTGTAGGGACAGGGGTCTCACAATGCTCCCCAGGCTGGTCTTGAACTCCTGGGCTGAAGCAATCCACCTCCCTCAGCCTCCCAAAGTGCTGGGATTACAGGTGTGAGCCACTGTGCCTGGCCTAAAATAGACATTTTTTAATGTCATAAAAAAATAAGGATTTAAACTGCTAGGTCCAGAATTATATGTAATGGTGTCTCAAGTTCCCTTTCTTGTCTTGTCTTTGTAAGAGTTAGTGTTGGCAATGTTACCGTCAAGAAGGAAAAAACATCAGAAAGTTTCTGTCAGGCTCCTTTATTTATTTATTTATTTATTTATTTTTGAGACAGTGTCGCTGTTGTCAGCTCGGGCTGGAGTGCAATGGCACGATCTCAGCTCACTGCAACTTCTGCCTCCCAGGTTCCAACCATTCTCCTGCCTCAGCCTCCCGCGTTGCTGAGATTACAGGCACCAGCCACCATGCCCGGCTAATTTTTGTATTTTTTTAGTAGAGACTAAAGGGTTTTAGGGTTTTAAAACTTTTAGGGTTTCACCACGTTGGCCAGGCTGATCTTGAACTCTTTACCTCAGGTGATCTACCCGCCTCGGCCTCCCAAAATGCTGGGATTACAGGCATGGGCCACGACGCCTGGTCTAGAAAGTTCCTTTAAACTGAGTGTATGAAAAGCTCTTATTTCTTTGAACAATCATATCGACCATTATCAGTTTATTTTAAAAAATGATATGCCAAAAGATCTACTAAAGTTTTTGTTTGTGTGTGTTTTCTTTCTTTTTTTTGAGATGGAGTCTTGCCCTTGTTGCCCAAGCTGGAGTGCAATGGTGCCATCTCGGCTCACTGCAACCTCCACCTCCTGGGTTCAAGCGATTCTCCCACCTCAGCATTCCGACCTAGCTGAAATTACAGGCGCCTGCCACTACTCCCAGCTAATTTTTTTTAGATTTGTAGTAGAGACGGGGTTTCACCATGTTGGCCAGGCTGATCTCAAACTCCTGACCTCATGATCCGCCTGCCTCAGCCTCCCAAAGCACTGAGATTACCAGCATGAGCCACCGCGCTTGCCCTGTGTGTTTTCAATAACACAAGTGACAAACCATTTCCTTAATTGGAATCTACATGGACTGCTAATATAAATGAATCTATAGCTGCCTTTTAGAATTACAAACTCTAATTAGCTCTCTGGAGGACTTA